TCCTTTTCAAGATGGAGGGCTCCTAGTGCCTGGACCTGAACTACTATCCTTGTACCCCTGGGAGGGTGTGTGACCCTGTCCTGTTTGGAAAACCCATCCTGCTCTTTCCCTTTTACCTGTAATTAGTGTCCGATCATCTCTGTGCTTTGCTCAGATTCCCTTCCCTCCGGGGTTGAGGAAAAGGAGACACGTCTGACCCATCTATGTGTGTCTGCGAAACAAGCAACGGCAAATACCATGTTTCCCCATAAATAAGACAGGGTCTTATATTTATTTTTCCTCAAGAAGACACTCTAGGGCTTATTTTCAGGGGATGTGTTATTTTTTTTAAGTACAGCACAACAATCTACATTTATTCAAATATAGTTAAGTTGTCTTCTTCTGGAACATCATCATAACTCTCCAAACTCTGAATTCCATCCTGAATTTCTCGCGACTCTATTTCCTTTAGAACCATTGGCCCCAATCTCTCATGTCGAGCAATAGAGCTCTCATGGGGCAGATGAGAAGGGCTGCTCATCTTCCTTACCACTCGTGACGAAATGCATGGGTTGTGCAGATACGCTGCATAGCCACACCCATCACTAGGTCTTTTTTTCCGAGGTAGGGCTTATACTGTGCAAATGCTTAGAAATCCTGCTAGAGCTTATTTTATGGGTAGGTCTTATTTTTGGGGAAACACGGTAGTCATTTCAGTTCCTAGGCATTGGGCTCACACGGGGTGGAGAGATCAAAACCCTTTAGGGGGAATATTTCTGAATAGGTCACAGATGATTAAATTCCCTAAAAGTAACAGCTTTCCTACTCAAGAAAATTTAAAATGTTTCTAGTTAAATCATTCCCTTGGCCAGGAGCAGTGGCTCACGCCTATAATCCTAGCACTCTGGGAAGCCAAGGTGGGTGGATCCCTTGAGTTTAGGAGTTCGAGCCCAGCCTGAGCAAGAGCAAGACCCTGTCTCTACTAAAAATAGAAAGATATTACTTGGACAGCTAAAAATATATCGAAAAAATTAGCCGGGCATGGTGGTGCATGCCTGTAGTCCCAGCTACTTGGGAGGCTGAGGCAGGAGGATTGCTTGAGCCCAGTAGTTGGAGGTTGCTGTGAGCTAGGCTGATGCCACGGCACTCTAGCCCAGGCAACAGAGTGAGACTCTGTCTAAAAAAAAAAATCGTTCCTTTATCAAGATATCCACTGTTTTCTTGTAATATTGATGGTCCTATTAATTATTTAACTACCCTGATGTTCTTTAATTAGTGCATACCAAGTAGTGTGGCACTTTAGCTTTTGTAGCCTTGAATTCCTGGGATCAAGTGATCCTCCCGCCTTAGCCTCTCCCAAGTAGCTGGCTCCCCACTTACACTTAATTTTTTTTAATGTTTTATTTAAAAACCAAAGAACACTTTTCCACCTAAACAGCCTGAGTTGATCCATGAAAATTTTTCACTATTTATTTGAAAAACTCCACAAAGTCATGCAAATTAAGAGGCTGAAATCTTCCTGTTCATCAAGAACACTCCTGAAGCTGCCCAAGTCCTCAAGGGTATGCAGATAAAAAAAGCCACCAAGTATCCAGAAGATGTCCCTTGATTGAAACAGTGTGTACCATTTCATTGTTAGTAGGGTGGAGTTGGTAGATGTGCCCAGGTCCAACATTGGGGCTGGACACAGGGTCTGTGGCCGACAAGAGCACTGAATTTTTCCTGCACATGCTTAAAAATGCAGAAAGTAATGCTGACCTTAAGAGATTAGATGTAGATTCTCAGGTCGTCGAGCACATGCAGGTGAACAAAGCACCGAGATTCAACAGACATGCAAAGGTCATGGTCAGATTGACCCATCCATGAGCTTCCCCTGCCACATTAAGATGGTCATTACTGAAAAGGAACAAATTGTTCCTAACCCAGAAGAGGAGGCTGCACAGATATCCCAGGGCCGGTGAGGTGGCTCAAGCCTGTAATCCTAGCTCTCTGGGAGAAGAGATCATTTGAGTTCAGGAGTTCGAAACCAACCTGAGCAAGAGTGAGACCCCGTCTCTACTATAAATAGAAAGAAATTAATTGGCCAACAAATATATATAGAAAAAATTAGCCGGGCATGGTGGCGCATGCCTGTAGTCCCAGCTACTCTGGAGGCTGAGGCAGGAGGATTGCTTGAGCCCAGGAGTGTTGAGGTTGCTGTGAGCTAGGCTGATGCCATGGCACTCACTCTAGCCTGGGCACAAAGTGAGACTCTGTCTCAAAAAAAGAAAAACAAAAACAAAAACAAAAAAAATTTATGAAATTGTAAAATGTTAGAATTCTAAGATCTTCTTTGTTTTGTTTTGTTTAAAAGATAGAGTCTCACTCTGTCTCAAAAAAAAAAAAAAAAAAAAAAAGAAGTTCCAGACTAGTCTGGGCAACAGGGAGACCCCATCTCTACTAAAACTAGAAAAATTAGCCGAGCGTGATGGCACTCACATGCAGTCCCAGCTACCAGGGAGACTGAGGCAGGAGGATCACTAGAGCCCTGGAGTTTGAGGTTGCTGTGAGCTACGCTGAAGCCACAGCACTCTAGCCTGGGCAACAGGTGAGACTCTGTCTCAAAAACAAATAAATAAATAAATAAAAGAATTAATAAATTAATTAAAAAATAAATAATTTTTAAAAATCAAAAAAAGAAAGAAAGAAAAAGACATCTGAGAAGAAAACAAAATTTATGGTATGGGAATAAACTCAGCATAAAATAAATGTAAAAAAAAAAAAACAGAGCAACCAAAAACACCCTAAAATAAAAATAGCATATTGTACTAAATAAATAAGCATTTATGATACCTCTCTCATAAAAGTTGGCTGTGAAAAACAAAATGAAAATAAGTGTTGCTGATTGGCAGGTTCTGTGTTCACCACATGTAGAGACGGACTCTTGTCACTAGGGCGCAAGTAATTCACCAGGGCAACTGCCAGACTGGGCTTGTGGAATTGGCAGCACCCGTGCAGCTACAGCAGAATTCTTGAGCAAGGTAGTTGCAGGATCACATGCCACAGTGACAAGAAAATACTTGGTCTTTAGTGGTTTATGTTCCGTTCATATATGTGAAATTGCACTTTGTTTCACATTTCTCAATGTCTGGTGTTGACTCGTTAGTGAGATGATCACAGAGACAAGAAATTTCTTTCAGATTACTGATGTTGACTGAAGAAAAAATTAAACTTTTTAAAGAACTAAAGTTACATTTATTTAGATGTGTCACTGAGAACTATAGACCAAGGAGGCCTAGAACCTGGGAGCACTTGAATTCTGTTAGACCCCTCCAACACAGTATTTCTGTTCAGGTTATATTGTGACCGAAAATAAAATCCTAAGCTCCCTGCCAACTAAATGGATCCCCTCTTGGCCAAGGGGACACCAGAAGAACCTTAAAACTGAGTTTTCGGCCAAGAAGGGAAGGGAGGTTGGACACGCCTTGTTATGGCCTCTGCCCCTTTGGAGTTTAGATTAATTGCAAACAGGACCTAACACCATGCAAGGCAAAGGTTCAGTCATATCTAGCAATCCCTAAAATTTCATTAAATGGGTTTTTTATTAACCCAGAATAATGTGGCTTACTTTGCAACCAGACGTGGCAGATAGTAGACCCTTTATCTTAACTCAAGCATTCCTATCTATCTATGGCTCCAAATCTTTCGACAAAGCTTCATTTCCTTAACTAATTACAAATCAATGAATCTCTGAACTCTCCTATAAGCTATAAGCCTCAGCTTTGAGATGTCCCACTTTTTAGGCCAAACCAGTGTATACTTTCCATGTATTGATTTATGATTTTTTCCTACAATTCCTGCTTCCTTAAAATGTATAAAATCAAACTGTAATCTGTCCGCCTCGGGTGCATTTTTCTCAGGACCTCCTGAGATATGTTCCCTGAGCCAAGGTCACTCATATTGACCTTAGAATAATTTTTTTTTACATTATTTTACAGAGTTTGAGTTTTTTCTGTTAACCATGTACAGGCAGTGAAGAGTAAGTATGTGCAAACTCACATATAAGTTTGGGTGCAAGAGTAGATCGTGTTATACTTTACAGAGGCATAATCACTAACACAGTCAGACTTTATCTTATGTGTAGAAAAAGGCCAGGATACGGTTATTTATTTATTTATTGAAACAGGGTCTTACCCTGTTGCCCAGACTGGAGTGCAGTGGTGTCATCATAGCTCACTGCAACCTTGAACTCCTGACCCCAAGTGATCCTCTTGCCTCAGCCTCCCAGAGTGCTAGGATTACAGGCATGAGCCACCGTGCCTACATGGGGTATTTATCTTTTAAAGAATATAGCAACTCAGGCAAAAGATGTGGGATGTGGTATGCTCTATTCTATTTTCTTTCCTTTTTTTTGAGACAAGAATCCCACTCTATAACCCTGGGTAGAGTGTAATGGCGTTACCATAGCTCACTGCAACCTCAAACTCCTGGACTCAAGTGATCCTCCTACCTCAGCCTCCCGAGGAGCTGGGACTACAGGCATGCGCCACCATGCCTGGCTAATTTTTTCTATATATATTTTTAGTTGAATAATTAATTTCTTTCTATTTTTTGTAGAGACAGTGTCTCACTCCTGCTCAGGCTGATCTGGAACTCCTGAGCTCAAGCAATCCTCCTGCCTCAGCCTCCAAGAGTGCTAGGATGACAGGCGTGAGCCACCGTGCCCAGCCTATACTATATTCTTTTCAAAGCATCTTTCTAGACAGCTGCACATTGTCACAGAGTCAGGGGGTTTGTGAAATTATGCTTGTAAGGAAAAATAAGCAAACATGGCCTCTTGCATTTTATCACTGTTTCATACTTAGTAGCATGCCCTAACCATGGTCCTACACGACTCCATTCTATTTCTGGGAATTCTGGCTTTATGCCCTATGAATGGGAAGGAAATAGCAGTAATTCAGTGTTTCTAGTACTTATAAACTAGTTGTTGTAGGAAAACAGCCTGAATGAGACTTAACAGAGTCAAAAAAAAACAACCTGTAATCAAACCATAACAAAACTGAAATAACCAATCTCTCAGATCAAATCCCCAGTTTGAATGATTAGCTTCATAGCTGATGTAGGTCCTAGGGTGATTGGTGGCAGAATGTGCTTCTTGGGGTAGGTATTATCTTCATATATTGTTTACTATCCTGTTTTTGCCTTTGGTGTTACTGCACCATCTGCCTCCAATGGAGCCAGTGCACTGTGCCTGTAGCTATACAGTATCAACAACCCTCCCTCTAGGCCCGGGGACTGTGGAGTAAGAGGCAGGCATGTGAGATTCGGAAGGGCTGGTTTCCAGGCATGGAGTGTAGGAAAACAGCCTGTTGCATGTCAAAGTGATATTAATATCTTAAAGTGAAACTGCCATGATGACTGATGTTTGACTCCTGCATATCAAAGTGTTCTACAGCAAAATATTTAACCAGTATCTGTAGCATAGCTCATGACTCATAAAGATGTTTACGTAACCTCACCAGTGGTCACAAGTTTTGGTAAGAAAGCCTGCAGATATGACCAGCTGTACATGTCTGTACCATAAAAGCTTGCTATATAAAGGATACTTTCTGGAAGATGGGTGCAGGGACCCACCATGTCACGTGATCACCCATGACATCCCTTCTCTTTGTAATTCCCTATTAAATATTTCTTTCTGAGAAACTAGAATTGCCATTCTCTTTCTTTGGTCCCTTACCTACCAAAGTAGATTAGGTTTGCATACACTTGCTCTAAGTTGGTTCAACTCATGGTACCAGGAGGAAACCAACATATAGGAAGAGAGAAAAGTGAGGGTCTTCATTCGCCTGGCTGCCACCCTGCTGTCCTGGGGGATTGGCAGTCTTGTTTTCCTCTGCTACAGGCCACAGCTCCTGAATTGGCATCCGTTGAAGTTCAGGGTCTTACTGGAGTCTGGTGATGGCTCCACCCTCTTTTTCCTTGAGGCCTAGGGATGATGCTGTTTGTTCCTTGCTTTGCCACCTTGGTCATTTTCCATGGGAGTTGAGCATGAAAGAACATTCCCACCCATTACAGTCTGAATTCACTCTCTGGTAGTAAAGACATTACAATGTCTGAAGGTCAAGCAAACGGTAGATTATTGGGTTTTTTTTCTTTTAATCTTCTTAAAAATATTTTTTGTCTTATTTTTTCTCCATTTCTTTCTACCACAGAAACATCTTTGAAAGCCTATACCTCTGATAAAATGAATGTCAGATGACTTTGAGGATATTCTTGATTGTCAAGCCGAGGAGTCAAGGCTGGAAGTAAGTTGAGTTGAAAGCAAGTGTCCACACAGCCTAGGTGAATCTGGTTGTCTCCCTGTATGCTGCCTCTAAAACATAACTCACACTTCTCCCATGTCTGCCTTCTGAATCTCATGTAAAATGGGCTACTGGTGAATTGTATCATGGAATCATCCAACTCTAGATTTTATTCTCCTATCACAGTTCTCTTCTTAAAAGTCAGTTATCTCACAAGGTTGTTTCCACTCTATTTTCCTGTGTTTGAAAGTTCTGGGACAACTGAATGCTTTCCAAATTCTTTACATTAATAGGATTTCTCTCATATATTCATCGGATGAGTTCTTTCACATCTTTGACAGGAAGTGGGATAAATAAAGGCTTTCCTACATTCCTTACCTTCTTAAGATTTCTCTCCAGTGTGAGTCTTTTCATGTTTTCGAACGTACTTGGGACAACGGAAGGTTTTACCACAATGCTTACACTCATAGAGTGTGTTAGTGTGACTCCTTTCATGATATCGAAATGAACTGGGACAATTGAAGGCTTTCCCACATTGCTTACATTCATAGGGCTTCTCTCCAGTGTGAATTCTTTCATGTCTTTGAAGTGCACTCGGAGTATAAGTGCCTTTCCCACATATCTTACATTTATAAGGTTCATCTCCAGTGTGTGCCTTTATGTGCCTTTGAGCACTTTTCAGATGAGAAAATGCCTTCCCACATTGCTTACATTCATAGGGTTTTTCTCCAGCATGAGTTTTTTTATGAGTATGAAGGGAACCAGAACAGTTGAACGCTTTCCCACACTCCTTGCATTTATACGGCTTCTCTCCTGTGTGAGTTCTTTTATGTCTACGAAAGGTACTGGGCAAATTGAAGGCTTTCCCACATTCTATACATTGATACGGCTTCTCACCAGTGTGAGTGCTTTTATGTCTATGAAAGGAACTGAAATAAATGAAGGCTTTCCCACATTCCTTACATTCATATGGTTTCTCTCCTGTGTGACTCCTTTTATGTCTGTGAAAGGAACTGTAATGAATGAAGGCTTTCCCACATTCCTTACATTGATAACGCTTCTCTCCAGTGTGAGTTCTTTCATGTGCTCGAACAGAACCGGAGATACGGAAAGCTTTACCACATTGTTCACATTTATATGGTTTCTCTCCAGTGTGAATCCTTGCATGTATAAGATATAAACTGAGATAAGCAAAGACTTTTCCACATAATTTACATATATAAGGTCCATGTCCATTGTGCCTTACCATGTGTCTTCGAAGACTTGTGAGAGAATTGAAGGTTCTTCCACATTCCTTACATTCACACGGTTTGTCCCCAGTGAGAGGCGTTTCATGTGTTTGAAAAGAGTGGCGATGACTGAAGACTTTCTCATGTTGCTTACGCATGTACAGCTTTCTTTCATGTTCCTTATATGCATATGGTTTGTGTTCAGTGTCAGCTCTGATATGCCTATGAAAGGATGAATGACCAATAGAGACTTCTCGACACACACTGCTTTCACATGGTTTTACTCCTGGAGTTTTCTTGGTCAGCATATGATCTGGAATCTGGCTGAAGTTTGCTCCAAACTCACTATCTCCTTTCCCTACAAAGAGTCTCTCTCCCATAAGACTTCTGTAGAGAATGAGAAGCACAATATTAAGGGTTTATTTGTAAATAATTCTGTACTTATTAATAAGTATTATACTAACATTTTTAACATTAGAAAGAAAAGCACGGATTTTATGCCCTGTCTGAAGTGTTTGAACATGAACAGACCACATGCTCTGCAAGATGGCCCAGGCACATCAAAAAGTAATATTCATATGGGATTTCATAACACTATGTCCAAGTAAACTATCTCACAAACATTAAATATCTTTCTCGAATTTAAGGTTTTTGTTATTGTTGTTGTTGAGACAGAGTCTTGCTTTCTTGCCCTAGCTAGAGTACAGTGGCCTCATCACAGCTTACTGCAACCTCAAACTCTTGGGTGCCAGTAATTCTCCTGCCTCAGCCTCTTGAGTAGCTGGGACTACAGGCTCTGCCACTATGCCCAGATAATTTTTTTTCTATTTTTTGCAGAGATGGGGTCTTGCCCTTGCTCAGGATGATCTTGAACTCCTGGTCTCAAGCAATTCTCCTGCCTTGACCTCCTAGAGTGCCAGGATTACAGATGTGTGCAATCATGTCTGGCCTAAGTATGTATTTTTAGAGAAAATTTTCTAAGAATAGATACATTTGACACCAGGTGTATTTGTTTTGTTTACATGTTTGGAATATCTTTGACATTCTAAAATTCTCTTTAAAGACATTGCTATATCTTATAAATACAAATTACCTTAGATTTCTCCTGGGATTTTGGTACTGTTCCTCAATGTTCTGGTCTTTCCATTTTTCCCCTAAAATACAGACCCAAAAGGAAGGGGGGGGTTAAATTGTTTTAAATTGTTCGGATTGGCCCCGGAAAATTGTTCTTGATTTTTTTTAAATTTTTGAAAAATTTTTTGTTTTTTTTTTTCTTGTTCCATTGCGGCCTTGTTTGTTTTTTTCCCCACCTTTTTCCTTTTCGTTTTTCCAATTCCCGGACCGGCCTTTTTGATTAGGAACCATTTTTTTTTTGATTCCTTGGGGGAAGGAATGTTGTCATCCTTACCTATACAGGACAGGTTCCTCAAGGTTTCCCGCATCACATCTCTGTAGAGATTCTTCTCGGATGGTTCCAGCAAAACCCACTCATCCAGAGTGAAGTTCACAGCCACATCCTCAAATGCCACTGAGTCCTGAAACATCTCACATGTATAGAGGAAGATGGGTGAGACTCATAGACCTGGAGACCTATACTGCATGCTAAGAAGTTCACATGATGCTGCGAACTCCAAACATTTATTCCAAGACTTGGTCATCAGATTCTTACTCTCTGTTCACACTCACTTCCTTCCACACAGGAATCCTGATGCTAGAATGGAACTATCGGGTAAAGCAACAAGAGAATAGGAAATTCTGTCTTCCTGGTGAATCCAGAAAGATGTGCTGCCAGGGTCTCCCCTAATGCCTCTTTGTGCAGTGGATCTGTAGCACCAATCACAACAACGTTCTACTGATTACTATGCAGAAAAATGTTAGCATTAGTAATCCTGAGATGGCATATTTTTGAAAACACTTGTTTGCAAATTTAATTTTTGACGGTATTTTGGATGGGACACAATCACCCAACTGATAACAGAGTCATAACTTAAGTGAAACAGAAACCCACAAATTTTGATAAATTTTGATTTATCAAAATTAAAAATGTTTGTGCATCAGATGACATTATCAACATAGAAAAAAGGCAACCCAGTAAATTGCAGAAAATACTGGCAAATCATGTTTCTGGTAAGGTATAAATATCGGGAACACATAAAGAAATCCTATGACTCTGCCGGGTGAGGTGGCTCACGCCTGTAATCCTAGCACTCTGGGAGGCTGAGGTGAGAGGATTGCTTGAGGTCAGGAGTTTGAGACCAGCCTGAGCAAGAGTGAGACCCCATCTCTACTAAAAATAGAAATTAGTTGGACAACTAAAAATATATAGAAAAAAATTAGCCAGGCATAGTGGCACATGCCTGTAGTCCCAGCTACTCAGGAGGCTGAGGCAGAAGGATCGCTTGAGCCCAGGAGTTTGAGGTTGCTGTGAGCTAGGCTGACACCACAGCACTCTAGCCCAGGCAATAGAGTGAGACTCTGTCTCAAAACAAAAAAAAAAAGAAAGAAAGATAAGAAAGAAAGATAAGAAAGAGAAAGAAAGAAAGAAAGAAAGAAAGAAAGAAAGAAAGAAAGAAAGAAAGAAAGAAAGAAGAAAATAACCAACCAACAAAAAAAATAAGCAAAAGCTCTGGAAATACACATCATCTCAGAACAGAAGACATATATAATAGCCACCAAACGTAGGACAGGATGTTTAACATCAGATGTCATCCGAGAACAGCAAATTAAAACAACAATGAAGTAGCACCAAATACCTGGAAGGGTAGTTGAAATTCAAAACACTGACACCACCAAAGGCAGGTCGGTCTCTAACTCCTGGCCTCAAGCAATCCTCCTACTTCAACCTCTCAAATAGCTGGATGTGACACCAGTCGCCAGACATGACACCAAGCTCAAGATAAGGCTTTCAACAGGTGAATGGATAAACAAATTGTGGGACACCCATACAATGAAATATCATTCAATAATAAAAAGAAATGAGCTTTAAAGCCATGGAAAGACCTTAAATGCATATTGTTACATGAAAGGAGCAATTCGGAAATGGCTACTTACAATATGATTTCACCTATGTGATATTTTAGAAAATGCAAAACTCTAGGGGCACTAAAATCATCACTCCTTGCCAGGGATTACGGGGGCTGGGGAAATGGAGAGGAGAGTAATGATTCAGTGGAAATGAGTTAAACTCCAAGTGTTAAATCACAAGAATAAATACATATGCATAAAAGTGAGACGATTAATTCATACACACTTTATTGCATTTCCTACTCAATTTCAAAGTATTGATTATTTACAGCCCAGCAACTGTCTCCCAATGGATAAAAAAAATCCGTGCTTCATTTTCACTTGGGGACAAAACCAAGAATAACATTCTTGACAAGATCAAAAAATAAACTTGACGCAACCTAAGTCCCATAAGCAGGGCAATGGGTGAGTTGATTGGGTGTCTGTGATTTTCGATAGCTGCGTGTGTACAACTGAGGCAAGGAGAGAGACAGAGACAACAGAAATAAACCATTTCAGTATACCACATTAGTGGTATGTTAATGGTAATATTAAGTTACTGAAAACTCAAAAGTGGCAAAACTCTGCTTTGTGAGAAAGAGACAATAAAGCTGTAAAGAGTAACGAAAAGACTCACCTCTGGGTGCTAAAGGGAGGTAAGATCAGAGAGGCACACCAGAACCACCCAAGGTCTTTTGGTTTCTCTGGGTGGTGTGTCCCTGGGTTCTTACTATTTCCGCTTAACACCAGACAATTTATTGCAAGAACTCTATCTGGTTCTTCAGACCTGATCACACAATCCACTCAGGTTCCAACAAAGTGAATAAAATTACTGCACACAAATCTTGAAAGAAAATTCTCAAATCCGAAAGAACGAACAGATGGCAGTGAAGGAAAGCAAAGGGAAGCAGCTCAGGCAGGCAGCTGGCATCACCCCCAGTTCACAAGGGAGTTCACACTCCCACAGGTCAGCACAGTCCCAAGCTTGGGACCCACCCTGACCCTGCAGATGGAGCCCAGGGTGGCTCACTCCAAGGCAATTCGGGAGGGAAACCCGAGCAGCCAGAAAACTGAATTCCATGGGAAAACACACAAACTGCAGTTAATGAAACTCTTGCACCCCATAAACCAGCCCTGGATACAAAACGTTGCGATCCTGTTACATTTCTTTGTTCATCGCCTGTACGAAGCGGGAACTTCACTTTTAACTTCCGAGCACTGAACCTATTTCTCTGGAGTATGTACTTTCCAGAATGGCCGTTCTGAGCTTTTCGCTTGAATAAAATCTTTAACTTATTTCAGGTTGACAGATTCAAATAGGGCGACAACATAACTGTAACCAGTCAAGTACTCAACCTGGGCTGCCCCTCCCCCCAGCACCTTATAAAAAGCCTCTCCTTGCACCGCAAACCACTGGCGTTTTTCTCGTTCATGAACCGCTGTTTGCCCAAATAAACTCCTTCATTTTTAACCGTGCTTCAGCTGAATTTTTAACAGGATTAAGGAGGGACTGGGGACCCCACAGACCACAGTCCCCCCCCGCCCGCCACTCAGGAGCCCCACACATCTGTAACCGGCTCTAAGAACAAATTTCAACGACCCATGTATGGTCTTTTTGCAGTCTTCCCCCTTAACTAACCACTGGACCTTTGGGGGTCGTTTTCCAGAAATGGCGGAATTTCTGCAAAACAAAGGAGTTGCGTCTCCGAAGGTCCCCGCGCAGACGTCTTGGCGCCAAGACTCATCCTCCCCGGCAACCTGCCCCGCGTCGCGTCGCCCCCACCCCACTTTCGGAGACAGAGATTGGGGGCTGCTTGTCCTGTCTCCGTTAAGGACGTCTTTCCTATTCAAAATTCCTTTCTTCCTCGGCAATTCTCCTTGTCTTAACAACTGGCCGGAAAAGCTCTCGCGGTTTCCATAACAACCAATCGGGACCCTCCCGCGATGACCCTCCCGTTGTCACCGCACAATCTGGGGACGCGCGGGGCTGCCCGAGACGGCTCCAGGGCGGGGCCGTTTTTATGGCTGCCTTGCGCGCGGAGCCCTGTGTGATCTCTCTGTGTGTGTGTGTCACTGTCCCCTGGGATTCAACGGTTATTTTCTGTCCCTCTCCTGGGTGCTCGCTCCCGGTTCGCGCGCTCGGTCCTGTCCTCTTTAATCCCTCTCCTCGCGCGGCTCGATTGTTGTGGGACCGAGGGTCCGAGCGCCTCCAGCTGCCCACGCTCCTGCGCCGCCGCGCGCGCGTGTAACTCCGTAGCACCGGCGGTGAGGCCGCGGTCCCTGCCACGTTTCCGCGGGGTTCAGGCCCTTGGTCCATCCGCAGTCCGGCGCCCTGCGCCTGCCTGATCTGACCCCCTCCCCCCTCCCGCGCGGCTTGCGTTGGCGCCCCGCCCCGCACAGCTCACCAAGGATTCCCGCCTTCCCGGGGTGTCCCGCGGCGTCCTCCCTGCGGCTCCTGAAATCAGCGCAGGGGTCACGAGTAGGTGGAATGCGGGCGCGGACAGTCGTTGGGGTCGCGTGTGCGGAGGCACCTGCAGCCTCTCGAAGGGTGAAGATGGGACCCGGATGGCCGCGGGCGCGACACGCACCGGGCTGGGGGGAGCTCGCGGGGCGCCGCCTCCTTCCCGCGGCGCCTTCGAACGGACCGCGCGCAGGCCCCGCCCCGCGCCCCTGATTGGACGGCGCCTTCGAACGGACCGCGCGCAGGCCCCGCCCCGCGCTTCTGATTGGGCGGCGCCTTCGAACGGACCGCGCGCAGGCCCCGCCCCGCGCCCCTGATTGGACGGTGCCCCGGGACTCAGTGTCCAGCGCCGGGACTGTAGCCTCAGAGCGCCAGGGGACCCCACACCAGGCCAGGCAGGACTGGGGCAGGACAGAGACCTGATGTCCTCCTGGAAATAGGGAATTGGGATGAGGCATGGCCAAGGCTTCCTCACATATCCCTCTGTCCCCTTGTCGCAGAGTGGAGACGCTCCCTCCTTCAAATCTCCCATTTTCACAAGCAAGAAACTCTCCCACTTGGAGTCAATTCAAGGTTCTAACCTACATAAACTGTCAAATTCACAAACCCTTTCTCCAGGAGACAGCCCAAACGACTGACCTGGACAGATTTTGTTAATATAGAGGATTTAAAGGCCCAGCGTGGTGTCACACTCCTGCAATCCTAGCGCTTTGGGAGGCCGAAGGGAGAGGATCGCTTGAGCCCAGGAGTTTAGGACCAGCCCGGGCAACATAGGGAGAGCCCGTGTCTACACAAAGGGAAAAAAAGTAGTGGAGCATGGGGCCCTGTGCCTGTGGTCCCAGCTACTCGGGAGGCTGAGGCAGGAGGATCGCTTGAGCCCAGGAGTTTGAGGTTGCTGTGAGCTATGATGACACCACTGCACTCTAGCCAAGGCAACAAAGCAAGATCTAGTTGAAAAGAAAAGAAAAAGAAATTACAGCCTGCCTGCAGCGACCCTATGCATACCAAAACCACCTTCCAGTTTTGGTAGTAAAATCCACCCCAGGCACCAGAAGTAACCCCACCCCTGGTGTCAGGGGTTCAGTCCATGGCTGGACTGGTTCAAGGCTGGTTCAAGGCTGGACCTTGAAGCGTTGCCCCCAGTTCTTGGGCTCTAGGCTTGGAAGAATCACAAGCCATGCGCGACAGAGAGATGACAGACACTCAGCAAGTATGCAGGAAATTTTTATCGTAAGTAAAGTTTAAGGTGCAAAGCGAAAGTACATTTCCTAAGAGGAAATGGGTCCCTCTCCACGAGGGGAGAAGACACTGTCTACTTCTGTGTTTTCCCTTTTATACGTCAGAAGCTAAGGTAAGGGATAGTTATAATTATTCATAACTATATGTCACTGGGGGACTCAGTTCTTTCCAGGTATGCAAATGACTTAAAGGTTAAGTTTCAGTGATTCTTTCCAATATACCTTTGGTGGGGAAAGTGGCATAACCTGTTTATGGTGTTTTTGCCATTCCCTGACTGGTGGTCAGTGTTCCTAACTACCCCATTCTTTTTTTTTTTTTTTTTTTTTTGAGACAGAGTCTCACTTTGTTGCCCAGGCTAGAGTGAGTGCCGTGGCATCAGCCTAGCTCACAGCAAGCTCAATCCTGCCTCCGCCTCCTGAGTAGCTGAGACTACAGGCATGCGCCACCATGCCCGGCTAATTATTTTCTATATATATTATTGGTCAATTAATTTCTTTCTATTTATAGTAGAGATGGGGTCTCACTCTTGCTCAGGCTGGTTTCGAACTCCTGACCTTGAGCAATCCGCTTGCCTCGGCCTCCCAGAGTGCTAGGATTACAGGTGTGAGCCACCACGCCCGGCCTACCCCATTCTTTAAGACTGAAATAATCATTCCCTCTTTATTTTTCTGCAACCATTTCCTCCTTATTGTTTTTCTACAACTGCTTTCTCCTTTCTGTTTTTCTGATTTCCATTACCTCTCACTTTTTTTTTCGGTCCCTAATGCCAGGCACCAGAGGTACAATCTCAGAAAGATCAGAAACCCCAACTGCACCTGCATAGGTCCCCTGCTGTCCAGTGCTCTGGGGCTTCTCAGAGTCACACTCCTGCTGTGTCTGTCCTGGGAGCTGGAGACCCCCCGCAGGGAGGACAGGCTGCACTGGGAGCCCGAGGGGAGCCCCATGTCCCTCCCTTTGCAGCCTCCAGACTGGCCTCAGCTTGCAGCCACTGGCCTCAGGCTCTGCTGGCCACTGCAGGGTGTTCACCTGCTTCTCACCAACATGGACCAGTCAAATGGCACAAAGACCTGCAATCCCAGTGTTAGACACCAACAGAGCCCCTGCTTTCCTCCTGTGTTTGTGTACAAAGCAGAAGAGATAATTTTTAAGATAATTTAACTGTATTAAAAGACTTCCAGGCCGGGCCCAGTGGCTCATGCCTGAGATCCTAACACTTTGGGAGGCCAAGGCGGGAGGATCACTTGAGGCCAGGTGTCCCAGACAAAACTGAGCCAGAGTGAGACCCCGTCTCTACTATAAATAGAAAGAAATTAGCTGGACAACTAAAAATATATGTAGAAAAAATTAGCCGGGCATGGTGGCGCATGCCTGTAGTCTCAGCTACTTGGGAGGCTGAGGGAGGATTGCTTGAGCCCAGGAGTTTGAGGTTGCTGTGAGCTAGGCTGACGCCATGGCACTGTGGCCCAGACAATAGAGGGAGACTCTGCAAAAAAAAACACAAAAAAACAAAAACAAACAACAACAACAACAAACCCTTCCAGATCGCTCTAGCTAGGGACCCTTGGAGGGGACAAAGCCACACCTGAGGGAGGGAGGAGGCGGGTAGCAGAGCCTGAAGGGGGAAAGGAAGGACAGGAAGAAAGAACGGTGGCCTGGGTCCCGCAGCAGAACTGGCTCTAAGATAGAGCCCTGGCGAGCAGAGGTGGGAGCTCGGGGACAACGGGGGTGGGGGTAGAGGGGTGGGGGGGGCGGGGGGGCGGCTCGGTGAGTGCAGAGCTCCCTGGCTGGGGGAGGGGCGGGGCTGCTGCGGTCCTGGAGCCCGGGCTGGGGAAGTGGACGCTGGACACCTGCGAGGCGCCAGACCTAGGCAGTGGGGGTTGGGGGGGGACGGTCCAGGCGGAGCGAAGGGGAGGAGCCTCTGGGGGAGGGGCGGCGTTGTGTATTCGGGAGGGGACCTGGCAGAGGGCGGAGTGAAATTCAACGCCTGGCCAGAGCTGGGTGGGTCAGAGTGTGAGCACGCCCTGGAGGGGCTAGGGTTTTGCCAGGCGCTAGAGGGTTTCTGGGTGTGTTTAGAGGGCTTCGGGCGACTGGGGCTAGTCCGGAACTTAGGGGGGTTCAGAGGGAAGACTTGGAGACAGGACGTGCCTGGCCCTAGAGGGCAAGGAAGGAGTCTGGGGCAGGCAGCAGGCAGATTGTGGGTGTGTGCAGCCCCTGTCAGCCTGAAATATTGAAAAGGATCAGCATCTCGATTAAAAGAGTTTATTCAACCGGAAAAATATGGGAAGGCCATTCCGGAAAAAACAGATTTGAGAGAAGTGGGATATGTCCTCCCAAGTTAAAAGTGAAGTTCTTGCTTATCTAAGCAGAAAACAAAGGAATTTAGGGGGATTACCATAGCTGTAAACAAACAGCCTTTATACAGGGCTGGTTTATGAGTTAGAATAATTTAATTGGTTATAGTTTCTTTTCTGTTCCCTGCTGCTAGTAACCAGCTCTATAAACAAGAAAAAAAATTTTAATAGTGTTTTTAGTTCCCTTATGTTTCAAATAAGTTATCAGTGTTCACATTGTGGCGACAGCTGGCTGCTCTAAGTGGGCTTGAATTGGTGGTACCTTAGACACTGAGTTTTATCTCAACACCAGTAACTTACCAACTGCAGCTTCAAATTGGACAGCAAGGAAAATAGACAGAAAGCTCTTAGTAAGATCTGATGACCAAAACAATTGGCCCATAGACTTCAGTAAAGAAAAGTAAAAAAGAAAAATAAATTTAATTAAATAAAAAAAATGAAAACTTAGTAACTTTCTGTTGCACTGATGCATTCTTTTTGAGTTTCTTTCCCAGAAACAGCAAATCTTGCAGCCACCAGATACATACAAAGCCTTACACCACCTGTTTGTCCAGATAAGACAAGATAAGCGACACCCACCACAGATCACACCCAAGCAAAGGCTGGGCAGCCTCCTCCTCGCATCCCACCTGCACACAAAGCTGAGAGAATGACCAATATTAGCCTCTAGTTCATTACACTACAGAAAGCCCCGCCCTGGGAGGGACTTATCTCCCATTTTTTTGATCATGGGATGTATGTACTAGCATGATTTTTCACTACACTTGCGTGTCCTGCACTCCGCCCCAAACATGTAATGATGCTCACTCCTCTCACGCTTTATTTATTTCACCTCCAGAAAAACCCTTGACCCTGTTGGTCTGGCATGTCTGATTTGAGGCAGTCCATACCTGCCACCTCCTAGTTGAATATCTCCTGCAATAATTCCTTTTTTTTCTTTGACAATCCTCCTTTGTCTCAGTAATTGGCTTTCTGTGTGCAACAGTAAAACCCCATGTGGGTTTGTTAATATTTGTTTCCTTTACAACTGATTTTCATCTCCTTTGAAATATAAGAGAGTGTATTTAACATTCCATTTTAAGACAACGTGATTGCCATGAAGTCTTCCTGTGAGAAAGTTAAGCTATAGTGAAGGGCATCAGTAAAGAGGGAATTGGTCTTTCCTGACCACACCTAGTCCTTTACATTTTACCAAACAATGTAGGTAAGGAGGAAGGCTGATCTCTAATCAGAGAAGCCCAGGTTAGAGCACCATAGAGGGGGAAAGAAAGCCAGATGAGTTTTCTAAAGAGGACAGGGTCAGGAACCCTCCCAGGTGATACAAAGATAGCAGTTAAGGTCCTGGCCCAGGGATCCTTCCATCTGGAAGAAAAAGGCAGGAGGAAAAGTGAACTGAAGACTGTTAATGGCCATGCAAATGAGTAATTCAAATTCTAAACTGTTGGAGTCCTAAATTATTTTGAGCCTTAAAGCAATGGGATTAGGGAGTCTGAGTCAGTGACGGGCACCTGTAACTCAAAGGGCCCTAACCTTGGTTTCCATGATTAGAGATTAGCCTTCTTCCTGCCTACATTGTTTTGTAAAATGTTGTAAATAACTAAAGTAAGTCATTAAAGATTAACTTCCTTCTTCCCTTCCTCACACAAAGACTGTGTACTCTTAAAATGGTATGTTAAACATACTCTTTTAAATTGGAAAGGAAACAAAACCAGCTTTAAAGAAAATAAGCAGCAGGGAGAAGAAAACAAATTGTAACTAAATTGTTGTAACTTATACATCAGCCTTGTGTAGAAAATGTTGGCCTGGCCCGGTGGCTCACGCCTGTAATCCTAGCCTTCTGGGAGGCCAAGGCGGGAGGACCCTTTGAGTTCAGGAGTTCGAAACCAACCTGTCTCTACTATAAATAGAAATAAATTAATTGGCCAACTAATATAAATATAGAAAAAATTAGCCGGGCATTGTGGCTCATCCCTGTAGTCCCAGCTACTCCAGAGGGTGAGGCAGTAAGCTTGCTTGAGCCCAGGAGTTTGAGGTTGCTGTGAGCTCTAGCCTGGGCAACAAAGCGAGACTCTGGAGACTCTGTCTCAAAAAAAAAGAAAAAGAAAAAAAGAAAATGTTGTCCCAAACCAGACCGGCTGGGCTTTGAACTTCACTCCGTGCCTGGTCCGCGTCTGGCCTCGATCCTCCCCCCCACACACACATCCACTCCCACCCCCCAAAACACACCTTCCTTCCCTCTGACCGACCCCCTCCAACCCCTGCTTTCTCACTCCCGAGCCCTGAGCCGCCGGCCGGGCCGCGTCAGCTCCCCAGCCTGGGCCCTCCGCACCGCCGCCCTTCCCGGCCCCCGCCCGGCCCCACTCCAGATCACCGCGCGGCGGGGCACGGGAGCCCCACTCCGCCCGCTGCAGGCTGGGAAGTGGAACCGGTTCTGCCGAGAGACCCAAGTCGCCTTCAGACCCCACCGCCCCTCCCCCGCCCGCCCCGCCCGAGGTGCCACTGTGTCCGACCCCAGGTCTCCTCCCCCCCCTTCCTCGCTTGCCGCAATCTTTTATTATACTCCACTTAAATTATCGTAGAATCTTCTTTCTCCGCTTTATACATAGACACAGGAGGATAGCAGGGCCCTGCTGGTGTCTTCTTCTAGCAGTAGGATTGCGGGCCTTTGTCCTATTTAACTGGTCCTTGTTGGTGAGAAGCAGGTGAACACCCTGCAGTGGGCAGCAGAGCCTGAGGCCAGGGGCTGCAAGCCGAGGCCAGTCTGGAGGCTGCAAAGGGAGGGACACGGGGCTCCGGGGCAGCCTGCCCTCCCCTCCGGGGCCACCAGCTGCCGAGGACAGACACAGCAGGAGTGGGACTCTGAGAAGCCCCAGAGCACGGGACAGCAGGGGACCCCCGTGCAGGTGCGGTTGGGGGGTTCCGTGTTTCAGAGGTTGGACATCAGGACCCGGGGCCGTTTTCTGGACAGTGTCGTGGCTGTGGCATGCACAGGGTCGCTGCAGTCAGGCTGTAATTTCTATGTATGGAGAAAATCTGGGAAGGTCTCGCGCAGAGAAAGAACAGTCTGGGCTGTCTCCTGGAGAAAGCGTTTATGAATTGGACAGTGTATTTAGGTCTGAAGCTGAAACTGACTCCAGGTGAGAGTTTCCTGCTGGCGACAAAGAAGGACTTGGATGGAGGGAGCGCTTCCTCACCGTGAGTAGGGGACAGGGGACCAGGTGAGGAAGCCTTGGCCGTGCCTCATCCCAAATTCCCGGCGTCTGGACGGCATCAGCCCCCCTGTCCTGTTGCAGTCTGGCCTGGCCGGGTCTGGGCTCCCCTCCTGCCCTGAGGGGACAGGGTCGCTGCCCTGCACACCGAGTCTGGAATTCCCTGCACACACTTGTGACCCCGTCCAGGAGGAAGAACAGAGACAAATCCGCTAAGTGGGGAAGACGACAGAGCCCCTTTCAGCAATGCGGAGAAGTTGGGCTGAAATGGAAACATCCTCTGAGCAGCGCGCAGGGAGGGAGCTGGGCTTGAGAGAGAGGCTGCAGGCGGGACCTGCCAGCCTGGCTCCGCGAGGCCACGGCTCCCTTCGCTTCCCCTGTCACTCAGGCCGCAGGGGGCGGGGCCTGGCGCAGCACCCAATCAGGGGCGCCGGGGCGGGGCCTGCGCGCCGTCCGTTCAAACGCGCCGCGGGAAGGAGGCGGCGACCTCCAGCCTCTGCCCAGTCGCGGGTGCGTCGTCGCGGCCGCCGCGCTCCGGCTGTGCGCGGCGCTGCTCCGGGAGCCGCCGGGTTCCTCCGCCTCGGCTTCTGTCGCCCTGTCATCCGCCCTGTGACCGGCACTCGTCACAACAGCCGTGGAGAGGACGCCGCGATCCCTGGGGGCCGGGAAATGGTGAGTGTGCGGGGCCGGGCGTCCCCAGACCGTGAGGAAGGGTTGGTTGGAACCGGCCGGAACCGGCTGTGGCGGGACCCGAGTCTGCGGACAAGGGCGCGGCGCGGCCCTCGGTCCCTGCGGCCCGCGGGGTGGGGCCGGGCCGGCAGCCGGAACCCCGGGCGTCCCGTCCGGTCCCCGCGCGGCGACCCCGGCCCCGGCAGCCCCAGGCTGCGCGGCGGCGGCGGAGGGTCGCCTGGCCGGGTCCCGACGTGGCCTGTGTGGGTCGTGCGTGGGCGGCGCTGCGGCCCGTGGCGTCCCCGTCCCTCCTCCCGTTAAAAACTAAGTTAAGGTCTGTGGTTTGTTAACAAAAACCCAAGTTTCTAAAATAAATATGTTTATTCTGAGCAGAAAACAAAAGACAGAGACACCCAAGAACCGTTGAATAAATGTTTTTCAGGCGGTGTGATTACAGTTTGGTTTTATACATTTCAGGGAGACAGAAAGTGGCAATTAAAATCATAAACCAGGCCGGGCGCGGTGGCTCACGCCTGAATCGGCACTGCCGGAGCCCGAGCGGGAGGATCGCTCAGGTCAGAGTTCGAAACCAGCCTGAGCAAGAGCGAGACCGCCTCTCTACCATAAATAAAAGAAATTAATTGGCCACTAATAATATAGAAAAATGACCGGGCTGGTGGGCATGCTGTATTCCCAGCCCTCGGAGCTGAGACAGGAGGATCGCTTGAGCCCAGGAGTTTGAGGTTGCTGTGAGCGAGGCTGACGCCACGGCACTCACTCTAGCCTGGGCAACAAAGCGAGGCTCTGTCTCAAAAAAAAAAAAATCATAAACCAATACGTGGATAGTAATTCAAAAGGCAGACATCTTGAAGCGGGGGCTTACAAGCTCTAAGTGGGTTTGGGGATTCTTTAGTGGCAGTTGGTGGAGAGTGTTAATCTTTAGTCTAAAAATTTCCAGTCAATAGGAAGGAATGATTAAATTAAGATATGGGGAGCTGTTGTCTGTCACGTGACACCATACCAGCAAAAAAAAAAAAAAAGACCCGTTTAACAAAGTTTTATGGCCAGTGAGACTGACTTAACCCTTGCCTTGTATCCCCTTGGGTCTTGTTATATTGGTATCTTATTGCCACACAGAGCCTTGTGATCTCTATTTTAACATTGCGCTTGTTGTTGATGTTAACTGAGAATGGGTAGTGTTATAAAAAGCAGCGTCCAAACTACTCCCATAGCCTATGACCATCAATTTAAGATTTTTCTTGAGTCCCCTTGGCAAAAAGGGGGTCTGTTCAGTCAGTGGGGAGTTTTAGGATTTTATTTTGTCTCTACAGTTTGAAAGAGAGGGCTTATCAAGTGCATGAAGAGCCAATCCAGATTAAATACTTGGTTGGTGACAGTTGTGTAGTAGTCTCCTTATTTGGACTTGTCAACCTGAAATAATCAAAAGATCAGATTCTACTTTTAAAGAGATTATTCAAGTGCAAAGCTGGGAATGACCATGTGGGAATACGAAGCATCAGAGAATTGGACTCAGTGCTCCAAAGTTAAAGTTCTTCCTTATATAGATCAAAAAACCCCCAAAACCCAACACTAAAAAACAACAACAGAAAAAAACAACAACAAAGAAATGTAACAGGATTACAACATTTTTGATACAAGTGTGATTAATGAGGTACACGAGTTGAATTAGTTACAGTTGTGTGTTTTCCCATAGCATACAGTTTTTTGGCTGCTCGGGTTTCCCTCAGGCGCTGCCTTGGAGTGAGCCACCCTGGGCTCCACCTGCACAGGCAGGGTGGGTCCCAAGCTTGGGAATGTGCTGACCTGTGGGAGTGTGGGGTCCCTTGTGAACTGGGGGTGATGCTGGCTCCCTGCCTGAGCTGCTTCCCTTTGGTTTCCTTTGCAGAATCTTGCTGCCATATAATTTGCTCTTTACCTGAGGATTTAAGAATTTTCTTCCATGATTTGTGTGTAAGGATTTTATTCACTTGGTTGGAACCTGAGTGGATTGTGCAATAAGGTCTGAAGAACAAACTGGAGTTATTGCCATAAATAGTTTGATGCTAAGTTGAAATTATAATAATATAAGTACTGAGGGACATGCCACCCAGGGAAATCAATAGACTGTTGGGGATTCTGGTGTGCATCCCTGATCTCACCTCCCTTTGGCACCCAGAAGTGACCAAAGATTCTTTTTGTTATTCTTTATAGCTTTATCATCTCTTTATCAGGATGCAAAGTTTACCTCTTTTGAATTTTCAGTATTTTAATATTACCATTTATATGCCATTAATATTATGCTGATACAGTTTATTTCTGGTTTTCTTGCATCAGTTTATTGCAAACATGCTATAGTCTGAAGTGCTCATGGAACTCACCCATTGCAGTGCTCACGGAACTTTGGTTGTTTCAAGATTTTTTTTTTTAATCTTGTTGACATCATTCATGTTTCTTTCCCCAAGTAGAAATACAAAATGAATTTATTATTCATTGAGAAAAACGTGCTGTGTTATAGATGATGGGTAAATTTAAATTTACTAGGAAATGCCAATAAAGTGTATGTATGAATTAACCACCTTCACCTTTAATGCATGTGTGTTCATTCTTGTGATTTGCCAACACTTGAAATGATCTGACTCATTTCCTTTTGCCCATCTATCCTTAAACAGAATCTTTGTGAATATTTTTATTTTATTTCATTTTATTTATTTATTTATTTATTTGAGACAGAGTTTCACTCTGTTGCCCCTGCTAGAGTGCCGTGGCATCAGCCTAGCTCACAGCAACCTCAAACTTCTGGGCTGAGGCGATCCTCCTACTTCAGCCTCCCAAGTAGCTGGGACTACAGGCATGCACCACCATGCCTGGCTAATTTTTTCTATATATTTTTAGTTGCCCAGCTAATTTCTTTCTATTATTTTTAGTAGAGATGGGGGTCTTGCTCTTTCTCAGGCTGATTTTGAAGCATGAGCCACTGCACCTGGTCTTTCTAGAAGTTTTGAATTTTGCATTTTCCCTATAGGTTAATGATGCACTTTGAGTTAATTTTGTGAAAGTTTTTGGCCAGGCTTGGTGGCTCACACTTATAATCCCAGTACTTTGGGAGTCTGGGACAGGAGGATTGCTTGAGGCCAGGAGTTTGAGACCAACCTAAGCAACATAGCAAGACTCTTTCTATGAGAAATAGAAAAAAATTAATCAAGTTGTGGTGGTGTGTGCTTATAGTTTGAGCTACTTGGGAGGCAGAGGTAGGAGGATCACCTGAGCCTGGGAGTTGAAGGTTGCAGTGATGTATGATGATAGCACTACACTCCAGCCTGGGCCACAGAGCAAGAATCTATCTTTTAAAAAAAGTTATATGTTTTGTGTTTAATTCATGTTTTTTCATATTGTGTTCCAGATATTCCAGCATAATTTGTTCAAAAGACTGACACAGAGCAAATACTGGCTTTATTCAAAAATTTTATATTTAGTTTATATGAATATTTTTCATAAGAGGAAAGCACCAAATAACTACCTGAAACTATATTGTTTAAAATATTTCTGCCTGGCCCTGCGGCGTGCTCACCTGTAATCCTAGCACTCCTGGAGGTGTGGTGGGCAGATTGCTCCAGGTCAGGAGTTCGAAACCAGCCTAGCATAGCAAACCCCATCTCTACTCTGATAGAAAGAAATTAATTGGTCATCTAATATATATAGAAAACAATTAGCTGCGCATGGTGTGCTTGCATGCCTGTATCTCAGCTACTTGGGAGGCTGACAGAGGATTGCTCTGAGCCCAGGAGTTTGAGGTGCTTGTGCTAGGGGATGCCATGCACCACTCTAGCCTGTGGTACAAAGCAACTCTGTCTCAAAAAAAATAAATATAAAAATAAAACTGAATTATATATTTCGCTACTGATTGTTTGATGCATCTTTTTATATGTCTTTTGACCATTTGTATGTATCTCAGAGGAATGCCATTCAAATTTTTATCCTTTAATTTGTTTCAATAATTTATCATTAATTGTTGTAAAAAAAGCACTGATAAATTTACCAGCTTATGCATTTTCAAGTGTACAGTTAAGTCATGTTAATATATTTTATTTTGTTCCATTCGTAGCATTTTTCCATTGTAACTGCTGCCATATTTATAGCCATTGAATACCACTCCCCATTTCCCCTTCCTCTCAGCCATTGGCAACTACCATTCCACTTCCTGGTTTTTGAGATTAACAACTTTTCATAGTTATCTGAGATGAATGATACTGTATTTTTCTTTTTGTCAATAGTTATTTGTAGTTAGCATCCATCCTGGTTTCATACATGTTGAAACATGTACAGGACAGAATGTTATTTTGTAAGATTCAATAATTTCTTGTGTGTATATGCATGCCACATTTTGTTTATCCATTCTTCGGTTAATGGACATTTGTGTTGATCCACTTCTTGGTTATTATGACAATGGTCTTCAAATATTTTTCTTCATGATGTGCTTCAGTTTGTTTGATTTAGTATATATGTACTGGGAAGTGGGTTGCTAGAATACATGGAATTTTATCATTAATTTCTTTTTTTTTTGAGACAGTCTCACACTGTTGCCCAGTCTAGAGTGCTGTGGCGTCAGCCTGGCTCACAGTAACCTCAAACTCCTGGGCTCAAGTATCTCCTGCCTCAGCCTCCTGAGTGCTGGGACTACAGACATGCCACCATTGCCCGGCTAATTTTTTGTATAAAATTTAGTTGGCCAATTAATTTTTTTTTTATAGTAGAGACGGAGTCTGCTCTTGCTCAGGCTGGTTTTGAACTCCTGATCTTGAGCAGTCCACCTATCTCGGCCTCCCAGAGTGCTAGATGATCTAGGCGCAAGCACTACGCCTGGCCAATTTTTTTTGAGACAAAGTCTTGCTCTTTTGCTTGGACCAGAATGCAGTCGCGTCATCATAGCTCACTGAAACCTCAAACTCCTGGGCTGAAGTGATCCTCCTGCCACACCTGCCGAGTAGCTAGACTACAGGCATGCTGCCCAAGCCCACCTATATTTATCTTTTTTCGTAGAGGAGTGGGTCTGTGCTATGTTGCCTAGGCTGGTCCAGACTCCAGGCCTCCAGCAATGCTCCCACCTTGGCTTCCCAAACTGCTAGGATTATAGGCATGAGCCACTGAACCCAGCCTATTATTAATTTTTGAGGAGCTGACCATAAGAGCTGAGCCATTTTACTTTCTTTGGATGGTGACATGGGTTCTAATTTCTCCACATCCTCAACAAAAGTTTATTTGGGGTGTATGATTTTTTTTTTTTTTTTTTTTAAGTTGAGGCTTAAGGTCGGGAGCAGTTGCTCATGCCTGCAATCCTAGCACTCCGGGAGGCTGAGGCAGGAGGATTACTTGAGGTCAGGAGTTCAAGACCAGCCTAAGCAAGTGAGATCCTGTCTCTAATAAAAACAGAAAAATTAGCCAGGTGTGATGGCAAATGCCTGTAGTCCCAGCTACTTGGGAGGTTGAGGCAGGATTGCTAAACCCAGGAGTTTGAGGTTGCTGTGAGCTAGGCTGACGCCACGGTACTCATTCTAGCCTAGGCAACAAAGTAAGACTCTGTCTCAAAAAAAAAAAAAAACAAGTTGTTGAGGCTTAGGAGTTCTTTAATATTAAGAGCTTGCCAGACATATGATTTGTAAATATTTTCTGCAGTTTCATGGATTCCTTTTCCATCTTTTTTTTTTTTTTATTTTTTTTATTTTAGGGGACATAGTGTCATTCTGTTGCCCGGCCTCCGTCTGTTGTTAATGTGTTCTAAGGCACAAATATTGTTAATTTCAATAAATCATACTTGCTTTTTTGTTAAGACTGGCCCTATGGGGCCAGGCGTGGTGGCTCACGCCTGTAATCCTAGCACTCTGGGAGGCCTAGGCGGCGATATGCTCGAGGTCGGGAGTTCGAAACCAGCCTGAGCAAGACCCTGTCTCTACTAAAAATAGAAAGAAATTAATTGACCAACTAAAATATATATATACAAAAAAAATTAGACTGGACATGGTGGCTATGCCTGTAGTCCCAGCTCTTGCAGGCTCAGCAGTAGGATCGCTGAGCCCAGGAGATTGAGGTTGCTGTGAGCTAGGCTGACCCACGGCACTCACTCTAGCCCTGGGCAATAAAGTGAGGCTCTGTCTCAAAAAAAAAAAAAAGACTGGCCCTCTGGAATTTTTACCTCTCAATTTGTCTGGGCCTGGTGTGGTGGCTCACGCCTATAATCCTAGCACTCTGGGAAGCCAAGGCAGGCAGATCGTTCGAGCTCAGGAGTTCAAGACCACCCTAAGCAAGAACAAGACCTTATTTCTAGTAAAAATACAATGAAATAAATTGGCCAACTAAAAATATATAGAAAAAATTAGCCAGGCATGGTGGCTCATGCCTGTAGTCCTAGCTACTCAGGAGGCTGAGGCAGCAGGATCACTTGAGCCTAGGAGTTTGAGGTTGCTGTGAGCTAGGCTGATGCTATGGCACTCTAGCAAGGGCATCAGAGTGAGACTCTGTCTCAAAAAAAAAAACCCAAAAAATTTCCAAAATACCTTGAGGATATGCATTCTCACAATTGATAATACTAACTCTGTTCTACACATTCATTAGTAGGATTTCGTTACGACAGGTGTTACAGACTCAATGTACAAAGAGATATTAAGGGCGACTCAGGCAGTATATCTTTCTCCCTGGATTCGCCAATAAGACACATTTTCCTATTCTGCTCTTGCGTTACCCAATAGTTCTATTTTACCGTCAGAATTATTTTGTGGAAGAAAGTGAGTGTGAACAGAGAGTAAGAATCTGATGACCAAGTCTTGGAATAAATGTTTGGAGTCCGCAGCATCTTGAGAACTTCTTAGCATACAATATAGGTCCCCAGGGCTGTGAGTCTCACCCATCCTCCTCTACACATGTGGGATGTTTCAGGACTCCGTGACCTTTGAGGATGTGGCTGTGAACTTCACCCTGGAGGAGTGGGCTTTGCTGGATCCTTTCCAGAAGAATCTCTACAGAGATGTGATGTGGGAAACCTTGAGGAACCTGGCTGCTATAGGTAAGGGTGACAATATTCCTTCACTTAGTGAATTAGAGAAAAAGTGTTTCTTGTTCATCAATGCTGTTTTGTGATTTGGAATATGGACAGGGCATACTTTGGTGCATAAATCAGGAATGACTCCAGTGCACAATGAACATAGAATCTAATAGTTTTTTCATAATTGTAATAATTCAGGACTATATTTCTGGGTCTGTATTTTAGGGAAAAAATGGAAAGACCAGAACATTGAAGATCAGTGTAAAAATCCCAGGAGAAAACTAAGGTAATTTATATTAACATGACAAAGCAATGTCTCTCAAAAAAATCTTAGCATGTTAGAGACAGGGAAACAAAACAAATAAGCCCAACATCAAATTTGTTTATCCTTAGAAAATTTTCTCTGAGAACATGTTCTTAAATTTGACACAGATGTTTGTTGTTTGTGAATAGTTTACCTTGAGATAGTATTAAGAAACTGTATATAGGCCGGACGCAGTGGCTCACGCCTTTAATCCTAGCACTCTGGGAGGCTGAGGTAGGAGGATTGCTTGAGGTCAGGAGTTTTAAACCAGCCTGAGCAAGAGTGAGACCCCATCTCTCTAAAAATAGAAAGAAATTAGCTGGACAACTAAAAATATATAGAAAAAATTAGCCAGGCATGGTGGCACATGCCTATAGTCCCAGCTACTCGGGAGGCTAAGGCAGAAGGATTGCTTGAGCCCAGGAGTTTTAGGTTGCTGTGAGCTAGTCTGATTCCATGGCACTCTAGCCTGGGCAACAGAGTGAGACTCTGTCTCAAAAATCAATCAATCAACAAACTGTATATAAATATTATTTTTTCATAGTTGGTATAGACTAGCTATCTTGCAGAGCATTTGGTCCATTCATGTTGGACAATTCATACAGTACAGAAGCCTCACCTTTCCTTGAGAATTTTAAAGATGCAAGTATAATACTTACTAAAAAATAAGAAATCATTTATAAACAAAGCCTTAATAATGTGCTTCTCATTTTCTACAGAAATCTTAATGAGGAGAGAGTCTGTGAAAGTAAAGAAGGTAATCAATGTGGAGAAACTTTCAACCAGGTTGGAGATGATGTAGTGAACAAGAAAACTCCACCTAGAGTAAAACTATGTGAAAGCAGTATGTTTGGAAAAGTCTCCATTGATCATTCTTTTAATGGGCTCATTAGAGCTGACACTGCACACAAACCATCTGTGTATAAGGGATGTGGACAAAAGCCATACACACATAAGCAGCGTGAGAAAGCCTTCAGTTATCCCCACTCCTTTGGAATATATGAAAGGTCTCCTGCTGGAAAGAAACCCTATGAGTGTAAAGAATGTGGCAAAACCTTCAATTCTCTCACAGGCTTTCGAAATCACATGATAATGCACAGTGGAGATGGACCTCATAAATGTATGCTTTGTGGAAGAGCGTTTGCTTTTCTCAGTTTATATCGTAAACATGAAAGAACTCACACTGGAGAGAAACCATATAAATGTAAACAATGTGGTAAAGCTTTCCGTACCTCTGGTTCTGTACGAGTACATGAAATAACTCACACAGGAGAGAAGCCATATGAATGTAAGGAGTGTGGGAAAGCATTCATTCATTTCAGTTCCATGCTTATACATGAAAGGACACACACTGGAGAAAAACCCTATGAATGTGAGCAATGCGGGAAAGCATTTGCTCAGCGGAGGAGCATTCAGTGGCACATGAGAATGCACAGTGGAGACAGACCTCATGAATGTAAGATATGTGGGAAAGCCTTTTATTCTCCCAAGTCATTTCAAACACATGAAAGAAGTCACAATGGAAAGAAACCCTATGAATGTAAACAATGTGGTAAAGCCTTCAGTTCTTCCACTTCTTTGCGATATCATGAAAGAATTCACACCGGAGAGAAACCCTATAAATGTAAGTTCTGTGGTAAGGCTTTCAGGTCTGCCAAGAATGTTCAATTACATGAAAGAACACACACTGGAGAGAAGCCATATGAATGTAAGGAATGTGGGAAGGCATTTAATTTTCCCAGTTCCCTTCATATTCATGAAAGGACTCATACTGGACAAAAACCCTATGAATGTAAGCAATGTGGGAAAGCATTTCATTGTGTCCCTTCCTTTCGTAAACATGAAAGGACTCACACTGGAGAGAAACCCTATGAATGTAAACAATGTGGTAAGGCCTTTAGTTGTTCCACTTCCTTTAAATATCATGAAAGGACCCACACTGGAGAGAAACCCTATGAATGTAAGCACTGTGGTAAAGCCTTCAGGTCTTCCAAGTGGATTCGAATACATGAAAGGACTCACACTGGAGAGAAACCCTATGAATGTAAACAATGTGGTAAAGCCTTCAGGTCTTCCACTTCCTTTCGAAATCATGAAAGGACTCACACTGGAGAGAAACCCTATAAATGTAAGCATTGTGATAAAGCCTTCATGTCTGCAAAGTGTGTTCGAATACATGAAAGGATTCATACTGGAGAGAAACCCTATGAATGTCAGACATGTGGGAAAGCCTTTATTCGTTCTAGTGTCTGTCGGAGACATGAAAAAACTCATGCTGTTAATGTATAAGAGAAATCCTATTACTGTAAGGAATTTGGAAAGCATTCAGTTTTCCCAGTTTCTTTCAAACACCAAACAATAGAATGGAGAAACACTGTATGAGATAATTGACTTTTGAGAAGAGAGATCTGTGATAGGATAATAAAGTCTAGAATTGGAGTTGAATAATCCCATGATACAATTCACCTATAGCTGATTTATGTGAGATTTTGAAGGCAGGCATTAGTCACATTTTAGACAGGGAAACAGCCAGATTCATATGGGTTGTACAGACACCTGCTTCAAGCCCATTTTACTGAATCCTTGGCTTGCCCATCAAAGAGTATCCTCAGAGCACATTACTTTCATTTTCTCAGATGTATAGTTTTCTATACCGGAATTTCCACATTAAAGATCCATCTGTGGTAGTATGGAAATTGAAGAGAATTGAAAGAAGAGTTAAAATAATTTGAAAAAAAAAAAAAAAGATTTTGCAGTTGGCTTTTTTTCAGTCATTATAATGTCTTTACCAGAGAGCTGATTCCAACTGTCATGATTGGGAATACTCTCACGCTGTACTCCCCTACTCTGTGGATTGAATTGTTATAAGGGATAATTTGTTATGCAGACTTCATTGTTCCCACTGATTCCCATTGTTCCCACTGACTGTGTTCTTGAATCAGCATGACACCTACAATGCTGCCATCAAAAACAGCTGGATGGAAGCTGCTTCTACTGCAACATGCAGGGACTGCCCTCACCCAGAACTTTCATGTGAGAATGAGTACCTTCCTCTTATCAGGAAATTTTGTGTTTTTACAATTATCCACAGTGAAATGTAATGCCTCTGTACATTTTCAATTATGTTTGATTTTATGTCATGAAACATATATGTGTGTGTGTGGGGGGTTGCCACCAAGATTTCTGTACGTTTCCTAGAAATATCAATTGTCTTTAAAAACTTTGATACTAACAAATGTTATGCTTTTTTTCAATTACTGAGGCAATATATTAAAATGTCTTATTGCCATCATGGGTTAGATCAAATTATAATAATACCAAATTATCCCTTTGACATTGCGAGTCCATAGTACTGTGTGTGTAAACTTCATTTTTTTGACTGGTAAATTTTACTTTTCATGTTATATGCTTACTATTTTTATCTTATCCAAAACTTTCCTTCATTTATAATCTGAGAATTTAAATCTGAGAATCTAAATCATGCTGTTATGAATGCTCTATTGTCAAAGATCACCAGTACCATACCTGATGCCAAAGAGGGTATAATAAATTGTAGTAATAAATATGACTGTGAGCCATAAATGATTGTGGAATAGATCAGTAAGAGGGTTTTCAATAGAATTTCTTGTAAGATTTGTGTTTTAAGTGCATTGATTGCTATTCAAGGGATTGAGTCATTTCTGTGTATTAAATACTCTCAGGATGTGAACTTCTACCCTAGCATAATAATTGTTGCCTAGAAACAATGGCAGAAAAATGGAATGGAGGTATCCCTAAATGATTAGAATTGCCAGTCAGTCACAATATCAGAAGAGGGGAATTTTGGTCACATGTTTGATTTGGAATGTACTCTTCTATTAAATTTAGAGACCTATTTGCAGAATGTCCTTATTTTTGTCTTGATCCATCATGGTCACTGAGGAGCTCTGTCTCATGTTGCAGGTGTCTGATGTCTTCTTCTCCAACAGCATAAGACTTGTCCTTGTGGTGAGGGAGGCCAGCTTCCAGACTTCCAGGCATGTTTTTACCCTACTTATTCTCTAAACCCAAAAATACTTGTGACAATGAATAGACCCTGTTTTCCATAAAATACCTCAATTGAAATACACAAATTCACTCATTCCTTAGTAAGCTATGTAATTGTTTTTAGAAATCTTAATTGAGTTAAGTGAGACCAACATGCTACATAGTTGTCTTAATACAAGCCTAGGTAGGAACAAAACCAGCATCACTCTTCCAAGTAACCCTTTCCCGTTCAGTTAATACGTTCTAGATGCGAATTTGTACTTAGCCCTCTTATACCAGGACTATATTGTAAAAGGCAACATGGTAAAGTTAATTTTATATATTATACAGTGGCATGGAACAATCCAATCACTTCTTTTTTTTCTTTCTTTTGAGACAGGTTTTGCCTGTCTGCTACCCAGGCTAGAGTGCAATCGTGCCATCATAGCTCACTGCAACCTTAAACTCCTGGGCTCAAGCGATCCTCCTGCCTCAGCCTCCTGAGTAGCTGGGACTACAGGCATGCACATGGCTAATTCTTTTATTTTTAGTAGAGAACAGGGTCTTGCTCTTGCTCAGGCTGGTCTAGAGCGCCTGCCCTCAAGCGATTCTCTTGCCTGGGCCTCCCAAAGTGCTGGGATTACAGGCATGAGCCACTGTGCCCAGCCCACTTATTTATTTAGAAGACAGAATTGTCTTAAGGCCTTACTGGAAGAATTGTCTGTTCTTAGATTATCTCCAATTCTACGTCCTGCGTCTCTGAGTGAGGCTTCAGCTAAACCAAGTCCAAAACTTTTTGCTCTTGGGCTGTTGGCATGTATTTCTGAATGTTGTCGTGTGACAGTAGAGGCAGAAGCCTCAGATTAAAATTCCCCTGTCTGATAGAGTGGTTTCAGAGTAGGACGCTCGCCACAAGGAACCTTATGAGAATTAAGCTGTTGAAAAAGAAACTTGCCACACAGCATAAGGCTGCCTTGTCTCAGTGTGGCCTCACAGCCCTGCAGTGTTCCCATCTCTGTTCAGTTTTCATAATGGAGATAACTACTGCTTGGCTATTTTGGAGAAGGAGAAGGTAGAATTGCCTGGCAGAGAAGTTACTAAAGAGAGGAAGCCGAGCGGGAACTTCAGGAGAACACATAGCATTTGCTATACTTGGTCTGCATGGCTGAGCTCAGATGATAGTGTTCCCAGTCAAATGATTAAGGAGTGGCTCTTCCACCTGACCAAGCAAACAGTAAACCCAACTTTTTGAAGAGTCTTCCTATATTGCTCAGGCTGCTCTCAAACTTTTGGGCTCCAGCCATCTTCCTGCCTTGGCCTCCCAAAGTGTTGGGATTGTAGGCATGAGCCACTTTGTCTGGTCCTAAATGATTTTTTTTTAATGTTCATATCTTTTTGGCAAATTTTACACTAATACAGAGGTAGATTTGGATTTTCTGTGAAATTAGTAAATCATCTCTTTTCATTAGAGTGAAAACAAATATTAAAAGGAAAGTTCTTTTGTTCCTACAGCCCATTTCCCAGTTAGGCAAGTTCTGTGGCTTTTTCTTTTACAAGATTATTGAGCTAGAAGTCACCATTAAACAGGTACTTGGTATTTCGGCAACAAAAAGAACTTTCCTTTAATATTGTTTTCACTCTAATGAAAAGAGATGATTTACTAATTCACAGAAATCCAAATCTACCTCTGTATAGTGTAAAATTTGCCAAAAAGATATAAACATTAAAAAAAATCATTTAGGACCAGACAAAGTGGTTCATGCCTACAATCCCAACACTTTGGGAGGCCAAGGCAGGAAGATGGCTGGAGCCCAAAAGTTTGAGAGCAGCCTGAGCAATATAGGAAGACTCTTCAAAAAGTTGGGTTTACTGTTTGCTTGGTCAGGTGGAAGAGCCACTCCTTAATCATTTGACTGGGAACACTATCATCTGAGCTCAGCCATGCAGACCAAGTATAGCAAATGCTATGTGTTCTCCTGAAGTTCCCGCTC